AAATCTTAAAAAGAAAAAAAAAGAAAGCAATTTTCATAGAAGCCAAAAAAAAAGGTGGGGGTGCTCACAAAGGGAGCTGTTAATTATCGCAGAGACTGCATAGAAGCCAAGCAAGATGAGCAAAGAGCAACTACCGCTGGACACGGAAATTTAGAAATCAATGGCACATGGGCTACTTAGTCCTTATGCAGTTTGTCAGACATTATGGAGATGGGTAGAACAGAGGACAAGACAGACAGCATAGGAAATAATTCACATAAACTTTTAATGTGAAGATCAGCCGAGAAAAGAGCAGAGACTCAAAGATAGATATTACATAGCCATTATAGCATTTACTGGTTTTATTTAGAACACACAGCAACATATCTGCATGCCTAATGGCAACCATCAGCGAGGAAGAGAGTGAGGACGCCGAAGACAGAGATAACTCAAAGATCAAAACACAAATGAAAAGCAACACAGAGAGCAAAAGTAGTGGAAAGTGAGAAAAAAGTGTCTGGGCAGCCCTTCAAGGAACTGGGACACATTCCTCCAGTATGGAAGTTAGAAGAGTTTCTAGAGATTTCAAAAGCTGTGAAGGGTCAGTTTTTTAAGGAAGGGTTATTAGATAAGTAGGCAATGTTGCGTGCCCATTTGATTTTGCAGTAACCATTTCCAGTGAGAAGGCATCACTGTTTATGTGCCCTGACCTGCCCACATTGCCACAGCACAGTGGCAGAGCAGACATGCAGTTGAGCCATTCTGGATAACTAATTGTCTGGAAACACGCAGTTTGCAGAAATCTTTCGATTTGATCAAAATCATCCTTGAATATTGTGTATATGCTTCCTCATTTTTTAAATTATAACAATCAAGGTCAGATAACCTTGGAAATGCTAGGCTGAACAGAGTAGGATTTCCACACTGCTGAAGGCGATGGAGGAGACTGCTCCATATTAATGAACTATCTAGCCTGGTTGGTACCTTTTCATCCACTTCAGGGAACAAGGCAGATCTCAGAAGTTACACATGGATGTTGTTGCTCCCTCGCGTGCATTTGGACTCTAGAGGAGAAGACGATCTCTTCCTTCCCTTCATTTTTGGCAATTCTTTGCTTCTCACTATGGATTAGCAGTCTGCTACACTATCAGTTATTCTAATTTCTGCTAACCGTCACTGTTGCCATGGTTACTGCCACACTGCCTTGTCTCAGCTCTATATTTAACACTTCTTGTTTTCTTCAGCTTCTGTCAGAATTTTTCACCTTGCAGAAGGTGAAAAATCCTGGCCTTTTATAGATATTACTGTTAAGTTAGTACTTTTTGCTTACTCTTAGAAAGCCAAAACATAGTAGCAGATATACTCTCTTGTCTTTAGTGCTTCTCAGAAGCTAAATAATTTGGGCCTGGCTCTTTCCTTTACAAGATCTTTAGCATTATTTTAAAATATAAAGGTCTGATGGACCCAAAAGCCTGTATCAACAAACCTCTCTACTCCCATACCAGCTATGAGGCAGTGTACAAGCTCTAAGGAATGGGTGTTCATGGATTAGTTGTAGTTTTCATGCACAAGGTACTCAAAACTGAGTGGGAGCACAATGGGATTCAACCAGTAAATAGGATAAACTTGATATGTTATATGCACGTCCACTTAGAAAATTAGATTCAGAAATGCATGGATGCTGGGTACTATTAACTAACAGAAACATTTACTTAACATGGGGAGATAATTTTTTGCGATGCCTGAATCTTAGGTTAGGGCATAAATGTAGCCAACCACACAAAAGAAATTGCATATGCTCAAGGGTGACCTGCCGCTTGGCCAGGAACAAGGCTCAAACCAAGTGGACACAGCACAGACGAAAGGAGAGCTGGAAAGGTAGACAGCTATATCCTAACAGGTCCCACAGCCATGGCCATGAGGCATGGTTGTGTCCCAAGGGCCTAACAGCCACAGCCAGGAGGTGTGGTTGTGTCGCAAGGGCCCAACACCCATAACCAAGAGGTGTGCTGTGTCCTAAGAGCCCCCATAGCCATGGCCAAGAGGTGTGATTGTGTCCTAAGGGTCCCTCAGTCACAGCCAGGAAATGTGTTGTGTCTAACTGGATCCTACAGTCATGGCCAGGGGGGTGTGTTATGTCCCAGTGGGCTCCCCAGCCATGGTCAGGAGGTACGCTGTGTCCCAGTGGCCCCACAGCCATGGTCAGGAGGTACGCTGTGTCCCAGTGGCCCCACAGCCATGGTCAGGAGGTACGCTGTGTCTCAGTGGCCCCACAGCTATGGTCAGGAGGTACGCTGTGTCCCAGTGGCCCCACAGCCATGGCCAGGAGATACGTTGTGTCCCAGTGGGCCCCACGGTCATGACCAGAAGGTGTGGCTCTATCGCCACAGAAGCTAAGCAGCACTGAACAGAGATCAAAGAAGACCGTGGCCAGCCCTGGTTTTAAGAGATTCTTCACTAGTAAAAAGAGCAGAACAGTTTGAGAGCAGAATCAGACTCATAAACATAAGCTTTTTCAGAGTAAATTGTTTCTAAATATACCTCAAAATCATGAACAAAGATATTTAGGAGAACAGGAAATAAGGCAACAAATGTAACAGAAATGTGCAAATGGCAAGGGAAAAAACAATACAAAAGAAAATGGAAAAAGATTCCAAATTCATGGGAAGAAATGAAATTAACAGGAAGAGAAAAGATGCTTAAGCATTAATACATTAACTCATTTAAACAATTGCAAGTCCTTGGTGTCATCCCACTGAACTGTAGAGCGGAAGCAGGTGTGCAGTGACCACTGTTAGGAATGAAAAGCAACAAAATCCTGCTGGAAGCAATTTCATGATACGTCTCCAGAGTCTCACAAAATATTACATGTTCAGGAAGAAATTGCATTCCTTTTAGATCAATTATAACAAAATAGAGATGTAAGAATTCATACATCAAAACTTTCAATATGGAAGAAACTCTCTAAATGTTTACAAATAGTATGAGGCTATTATAATATACAACCAGCCCCCGAAATCCAGATTCTCTATGAATTCAGCCAACAATAGATCCAAAACAGTACATTTGCAAGGACATGCACAAACTTGTTTCTTGCCATTAATTCCCAAACACTGCAGTACAGCAATTATTTACACAGTATTTACATTGTATTGGGTTTTATTTATAATCTAGAAATGCTTTAAAGTGTAACAAATGAGGTTGTGCAGGATAAAGGCAAACAAATACCACTTTACAAAATGGACTTGAACATCCTTTGATTCTGGTTTCTCTAGACCTGCATCCAATGCACTCTAAATACCAAGGGACAAGTGTATACAGCCCAACCCTTTATGATCATTAAAAATAAAAAGGAAGTGCAGGCATTTGGTTTGCAGTTCACACACTGGTTACTATGCCTGCGACCCACACTAGAGTTCCTGGGTTAGAGTTCTGGCTCTGCTCCAAATTCCAGCTTCCTGCTAACGTGCTTGTGGAATACTGGATGTCTCAAATATTGCATGTCTGCCTCTCCTCGGGGAACTCAGTCCAATCTGAGCTCTAGGCACCTGGCTGTTCAGGGCACTTGGAGAGTGAATCAGGTGGTAAGAGCCATGAGGGTGTGCACGTGTGTGTGTTTATGTGTGTGTACAGTGTGTTCTGTCTCAAAGAAAAAGAGCAGAAAGCATTCATTGTAAGATATTAAGTATGAAAGAGTGATACTGAAACAAAATTGTTTTCACACTATAATGCCAATAAGGCACTTTGGGTGTTATTTTACAGATGTGTAGGCGACTGAATTTCAGCTTAACTAGGCATTATACATGAGCCAAAAAATCATAGAAAGAAGAAATATCACATTTTAACCATGTTATTACTTTATTAATGCTTCCCACATTTAGAATGGCATATACTACTTTAAGCCATGTATATAATAATACAGCACAGGAAAGGTAGAGAAATCAGAAATGATTAGTATCACAGAAACAAAGCTGCAGAATTATAATAAAATGGAATTCTTAGTGTAAAATGATATCCTCATATAATTATGAAATTTATTACTCCTGGAGCTACATACTGGAAATAAAAGGGCTTAATTTTTATTTGGACATGTCCTTAATGGAATACTGCAATTAACACACATTTAGGATCGCATGCATGGTTTAAGACATGCTGCCTTGCCTGGCATATACTGCTAGAAGATAAGCACTGCAGCTCTGACTCGGGCAAGAGAAATCTACATTTCCCGTCCGCATTAAGAATGGCACCACGTGTCATCTTGTGTCACAGAAATACTGATCACAGTGACGAGTTTGAAAAGAGCATGAAAGGCAGTCCCAAATGCACCACCCTCATTCTTCCAGCACAAAGCAAACACTATATATAGCATGAACATGTCTCTTCTGTCTTCTCAATTTACGTAAGCAAATCCGTATTTCATCCTTTTCTCACTCAAATAGAGCACCAATCTCTTGAGTAGAATATTCAGGAATAAGTTATTTAAAGTTTCAGAATAAGCTCCCTATTTTCTGGCTTGTAACAAAAAATGAGTACAAAGTTCAGGTTTTCATCTCCCAATGCTGTCCTGCTCTGTTTCCAACTCAGAGTCCTGACAGGCCGGACACCCTGATGGGAGCATTACTTCTACATGACTTGGACATTCTCTTTCAATCTTGACCTGCCTACTTAGATTCTAAATCCTGCACTTATCCCCCATGTACTTCCATGATCTGAGCTCTATTTGTCCAGCTTGAGTTCCTTCTCCAGGTCCTGCGACACAGCCTGACCTGTCCGCTCTGGGCCCATTCTCATGGGTGAGCATTATGTTCAGAGTGACTCAGAAGACCTCACCAATGACTGGCATTAGTTAAGCAAGCTTCCAATGCACAGACCCCAGTGTGTGATATGCAAAGATGTACGTCTAACATATTTGCTTATGACATGAGTAGGAGCATCTGTTTGAATTTTTGTTTTAAAATGTTTTAAATGCTGCTCAGATTTTTTTGATTTGTCTCATGAACTCTTATCTCCATCTCTTCTAGATGGCCCAGTGGTCTATTCAGCATACCTTAAAATGGAGCACAGCGATGAGAACATTAAATTCTGGATGGCATGTGAAACCTACAAGAAAATTGATTCACGATGGAGCAGAATCTCTAAGGCAAAGAAGCTCTATAGAATTTACATCCAACCAGAGTCGCCTAGAGAGGTAACTCTCCAACAAGGATGGGAAAGGGAATTTCATTCATCACTGGGAGGGCACTAACACCTGCCAACCATCTCACCTGTTAGGAGTTGTTACACTCCTAAATCATACAAACCAGCATCGCTTACTTGATAAGGAAACCCAAGAATCTGAGAAGCCAACTAATTTGCCGAGTGACACATCACCATAAAGTGGTAGCATCAGGATTCAAAACTAGGCCATCTGCTTCCAAAACCTCTTTCCATTAATTTGCAGTAATGCCCAGGAACATTAAAAATATTTTTTTAAAAGTCCTTGTAACAAGAACTGGCCTTACCAGAAGAATTTGTTAATCTCAAAAGAGACCTGTGAGACTCCCCTGTGGTACTGTCAGTTTATGCCTGCACATCACAGTCCACCTGCACTGAAACAAGCAGGCCCAACAGACACTCACACTGGTACCAATGCAGGTAACACACAAGTCCCAACAGAAACAGACACACTGGGACTTCTGGTTGACAAAGAATGAGGGAAAGAGAACTCCCACTCAGAGGATAAGGAGAAGAGATGGCATACAGAATTTCCACCATTCAAGGCAGATCCACATTGATTCCCCAGAACGCGTGCATGGAAACTAGCTAGCTTAGTTAAGTGACCACATCTCCACTCACTTCTCCATTGCTCCTTACCGCATTCCCATGTTAAGACATACTCAGTTAAAGCATTACTTGTGAATGTTAAGGAAGAAATTCGGAAAAGCAACTCCTTCCTTTTTCCTTAGAAACCTCCACCTACCAAAGTTTCTTGCCTGGAGGCTCTCACCCATAAACCACTTACATCCTCTAAGTAAGCAATGGTTTCTGAGACTCTTCTGGCCTTGAACCTCATGATTTTTTCATTCTTTTTCAGATGTAGAGGTAGATACCTATATTTTTGGAAGCCAAATGTTTATATCTTATAAACCATTTTAACACCTATTAACTTGTAACCAAAATTACTCTATTCCAATGAAAATGAGAGGAATAAACAAAAACCTTTCATTTCTAACATAAGATATTTACATATCTTCTACATAATATATTAAATTATGTTTACCTCCTCTGCCTGTAATTCACTTTTCAGATCAACATTGACAGTTCGACAAGAGAGACCATCATCAGGAACATTCAGGAACCCACTCAGACATGTTTTGAAGAAGCTCAAAAAACAGTGTACATGCACATGGTCATGGATTCGTATCCAAGATTTCTAAAGTCAGAAATGTACCAAGAACTTTTGAAAACTATACAAGCCAACAATTCTTGACTATCACTCAAAAGTGTAAATCGAAGATGGTATGCTGACAGTAATGACACTGTCCTTTTAGAGAAACATAGAATCTGAAATAAAGTCACAATGAAAGAGAAATCAAATTACAATTTCAATTCTTATTCCACGAGAGGAACAGTTCCAAAGGGATGCATTTGAGAACTCATAAAAAAAAATGTATGGCATTATTTTCTTCAAGAAGGTTGATTTTCATTTCTTCAGTAACACATTAGTCATTCAAAAGCATGTTATTCAGCTTCATGGTGTTATTTTTTCTTCCTGTTATTGATTTTTCATACAAGGGGATGTACAGCAGCTGTGAAATGGAGGCTAACATATTCAGATGTGAGGATGCAGTGTAGTATGCATCTCTACTTCCACAGATGGACTCCCAATGAAACTGTTTACTATATCTAGACAATAGGATGCTGGACTCTGCCATTGTCCATGTCCACAATGATGCATACATGCCTGTTTATGAAGAACTATACTATAGTAATATAGGGGAACACAGTGACGGGGAGGGGATAAGGGAAATCCCAGGACCTATGCAACTATCACAAATGATAATATTTTTAAATTTTACTTTTTATTTATTATTTTATATTTTATTTATATATTTTATGTCTTATATATGTGTGAGAAATCCCCTGTCAGCTGCCTGGGTTTGCGTCCCAGCTCTGCTCCCCAGTTGTGCTGATGCACATTAGTTGAGTGACGGCTCGACTCACGGGGATTTCCGCAGCTCATTTGGGAGATTATGCTCGGGAGTGAAAACAGATGTTTTCAGGTGGCACAACAGTGACAATACGCAGTATTTTACTTTCCAGAGCAATTTGCATGGAAAATGTAAACAATTAAAAACATTTCACAATAACATCACATTTTATATTGTCCGCCAGTTTGAAACATTGAACAAATTCAGAAGCTCTGCATAATATTTACAAATATAAAAAGTGATACACTGCCCTATATAAAGTATTTTAGAAATTGCAAGTATTATATTCCTGAAGAATTGACTCCTGATTGTGAAAAGTAAAACAGATTTGTCTCTTGATCTAAAACAGAAGAGCTTCTTCATTCTCATCATTCTGTGTCCTTTAGTCCATGAGATTTCACGTTACACTAGAATCAAGAAATCTTGGTCACAGACAGATGCCCTGTGGCTCACAAGGTCACATTTTGTTTGTCGTGCTTTTCACTCCAAGGAGCTAGCTGGATAACTCATGGCAGGCTCTCTGGCTCAGAAACCAAGGAAGCCTAGTGAAACATACGCCAATTAACAGACACATCACTAACAAACAAAAAAACACACACAGAGGAAAGAACAAATGTGGATTTCAATTCTGGATTTTCAAGTTTAGCTGAGTATATTTAGCTTTTAGTAAATTATAGAAAATCATAAGTGTTGATTAGCTTTCTATTGTTAAGTTACATAATTTTTAAAATAGCCAATCCAGGAACAGAGAGTATTAAATTCTGCCTATACTTAAGTCTACCTGTCCAGAATGTTACATAGAAATGTGCTTTTCATTTTTCTGATAGTTAAAATAGCTGCAGGTATTCTAGGGGCCAGCCTTGTGGAGCTGCACATTAAGCCATAGCTTGTAATGCCTGCATCCCAGGTCAAGTGCCACTCCTAGCACCACTAGTTCTTTTCCTGGTAATCCAAGTGGGAAGGCAGCAGATGACGCTGCAAGCACTTGGTGCTTACTGCCCATGGGGGAGACCTGGATATTAGCTCAAGCCTTACCCAGCCCTAACTCTCATCACTTGGTGAGGGAATGAGCAGATGGGAAAGATTCTACCTCTCCCTGTTGCCCTGCCTTTCAAATAATTAATTTTTAAAAAATAATATTTCTGTTTTGTTAAAACAATTCAAACCAACATACTTATCAAACACTTACAGGGGTATATTGAAAGTAACACACTGAGACATTGCTTATCTTTAGCATTTTCAGCTTCATAAGTTAAATAAAAACAGACTGGCCAGCCTAGTCTGCACTGCCACCTTGCTTTGGTAACAAACACAACACTCACTCATAGAGCTACCTGTTACTGTTAGTCACGAGTGTCTGAGGGCAAGAGCAGCCAAAGTGAGAGATGGACAGGAGCAGTGCTGCCTTAAATGGTCAGAATCAGGAGCAGGAACAGAAGAGGAGGAGACGCAAGGACAGGACCAGCAGCGTACATCCAAAGAGGAACAAGAAGTACAAAAAAGTGCTCAAAGTAGAAAATGCCAACCAGTAATAAAAGGAAGCCCTTGGCCTTCCTTTGGAAGCTGGTGAACACTTTGTGCCCAGAGGAAACGAAGTGACTCTGCATTACTCAGCTAGCTCATCGTGCTCTAGGTTTGCGGAGTGATGCATAGCTTAGAGAGCCACAGGCAGGGAGGAGAGAAAACTGTCAGTTCAGACAGCGGATGCAGAAACTCAAAGAAAAGCAGCTGCGTTCCAGCCCGCAGGCAGTTAGCACTGACCACTGTCCTCCTGAGTGTCATAATGAGTTCGCCTCACACCATGAACTGATTGTTTCCCTGAAGCTCAGAGGGAAGCCTGTAAATTTACATACGTATTGTCGAAAACCTGATGCTATGTGGTTCTTGTGGTTCTCCTATTACCAGCTTCTAATTCAATGTTTGGGGCTCACTGTAACCTCTTGTCAACAGCAGGGTTTTACATAGTACAGGGAAAGATGCTCATTTTATATCCTGAAGTTAATAAAGCAGTTTTATATATTCATAAAGTTAGTAAAGCAAAATTCTTAAAGTGAAAAAGTTAATAAAAAGTTTTTAAAATTAATAAAGCACAAAGAGACTTCTCAGGTTAAAATGTGAATACACTTATAATTTTTTTCTGTTTTAGAAATATATTTTCAAGCTCTGGAGATGTGTGGCACTATGATAAGCCTTCACTGCCTCTGCATAAGCATATCTCCTCCCACAGAAGATAGTAACAGACTTGGACCAAGGCAGCTCACACCTGCAGGGTCTTGGCAGAAACAAATATCTCCCTTTTTAGAATCCATCATTCTTGCCACAGTTTCATTAACTGCCTAGAACTTTTTACCAAGTTTAGAAGAACTGCTACAAAAAAAGATATGAAGCTTTATCTGAAAATATAAAAAATTGCAACGTGAATAATAATGCCCACTACTCAAAATGATCCACATGTAGAATCTGAAGCTCCCACCACTGGCATAGAGGAAAAGAGTCATCTAATGCAAGTGCGCATGAGCAATGGATCCCGGTGCCACCACTAACCGCTGCACGGCAGGAAACAAAGTGTGGAAGAACAAAATGCATGCCATCCGGCAGCACAGGCAAGTGATGAGGCTGAAAGAACCAACACACTGGACACCAGAGCTCACTAGGTGCGTAGGGCAACAAATGCTTCCCACGCTGTACATTAAAATAACCAAAGATGAGGGGACTTAGATTTAAACTCAGGTATTCTCAACTGGTAATTATACATGTGGAAAAAAATAATGTTCTTACCAAATAAAAGGTCAAGTATTCTACCCGGCTCCTATTGAGTAGATATTATGCAACATTAACTATGGACGTTCCTATTCTCAGGAGCCCATCCACTGATGGGCAAAGCACAACATCGTAAGGACTAAACTCAACCTGAGTAAAACTGCCACCAACCTGCAGAAGAGGCATCTAGCTCTAGCCAGTGGAACCTGGAACAACTCAAAGTTGGAGAAAATGCATTAGCAATAATTAAACGAGCACTCGGGAGCAAAAGGAAACCTGTGTGGGCTGGAACAAGGGTTGGAGATGCTGAACTTATCAGATGATTCTTCAATATCAGATATGGACCATAAAGGTGAATCAAGCTCATGGGCAAAAACTCCTTCCAAAAAAAAAGCAATGACATCTTCTAATTTCACGTAGAAACTAAAGTGTATTATTTTGTTACCATTACCTCAAGGCAATGCTCTAAGAACTGCATTCTGAACCCAATGTGTGCAAACATGAAGGACTGCAACCTGACAAGCAGGGCTTCTGAAGCCACGTGGGCTTGAGCGGTGAGAGCCAAGCACACAAATCAAAGTCTGTTGGGAAGATGATTACAGAGCCTGCCCTGCACGGGTGCTTTGAGTTAAGACAGCTGACAGATCCGGATGTGCACATCAAAATGCCTGGCAGATAACTTATTAAAATATAAATCATGGGGCTCGGCTGGCCTTGTGGTCTAGCAGGGAAAGCCACCACCTAACACCAGAATCCCATATAGGTGCCAGTTCTGGTCCTGACTGCTCAGTTCCTTGCTAGATCCCTGCTAAATGGCCTGGGAAAACAGAAGATGACCCAAGTTACTGGTCCCCTGCCACTCACAAAGGTGGACAAATGAAGCTTGTGGCTCCTGGCTTCAGTTTAGGTTAGTTCTGTTACAGCCCCTTGGAGAGTGAACCAGTAAATCAAAGATCTCTCTCACTCTCTCAATTCTTTTATCTCTCTCCCTGTTCTTCCCTTTCCTCTTTTTTCCTCTCCCTCCCACTGGCATCATAAGGACCAGCTTACCGTGCTGCACCACACCCTGGCCCTTCTCTTGAGCTTTTTAAAGACCACTCCATATGTAAGAGAAACAAGGAGTACAGAAGGGAGTAAGCAGAAGGGAGTAGCAATCCCAGATATCAAACAGTAATTCACAGATTTCACTTTATTAAGCTCAAATACATCCAATGTTTCATCAGCATTTCATTAAATATTTAACACATAGGTGCTACTGGGCTTGATGAAGATAAAGTGCAATAGGTAAGTAAATTAAGGTGCAAATCTGCAATGTGCTTAACATCAGATGGAAGGGAAGATTCCAGTTAATAAACAAGAGTGATGCTTAGCACGAGAAGCCCCTTCCATTAGCGAATTTCCATTCCTAAAAGAAAACTTTCACGTATAAGAAAGGAATGGACAAGGTATAAAAATATATTTAATTGCAAACTTGTATTTTAAAAGGAATATTGTGCAGAAACATGTAGGAAATTTTATTGGACCATTTGATTCCCTGACAGAATTACAACTCAACTTGCTGCTTGTAATTAATAACCAGTTTTGCCCTATTGTTAGACACCGAGATATGCTTCTTTGACAACACTTGTAACAGTTCTTTCTCACAAGGCTCTGCCAGCGAGAACATCCAAAGACAGCTCAGATAAATACAGTCTGTCTTACACTACCAACGCCTGCTGTCTCAGTGATTCACACGCAAGTGACACCCGAGGCAGCAAAATCCGAAGCCAGAGCGTAAGTGCTAGCACAGCTTTCCTGTCAGAGTCTGGCAGTCT